GGCGGATATTGTCCCCTTTCGCTCTTAGATATTCTTCAATTTGTCACACATTTTAGGATGTTTTAAGTTTCATAAGCACAATCTGAAGGCCTACAGTATCTTGTTAACAGAGCAAAATATTCGGGGAGTAATATTTTTTTATTCAAAGCGAAATATTGTCAGTGTCAGCAGTTGCCTATCATGCAATATCCAAGTATCAAAATTAGTTCATATGAGTGCCTATAAAACCATGCTTTAAATATTTCAGATTTTTATAAAGAGTTGCATGGGACTTTGAACTGAATTACCTTCCTCCAGGTTGATCGAATCCCGAAAACTATGTGAGAAGAATAGTGACTTTCTGGAGTATTGGACGGAGTGAAATAAAGTGTATATCTTAATTATTAGAACATTATTTGAAGTTTTGTTACCACATAAATTATTCACATATAATGGTACACTTTAGGAGTAATATTACAACTGTAATTTTGATTAATTCACTGGAAATGATATCAAGGTATGCTTTAAGAATCTTGCTTTTTTTAGTAAATGTGGAAGGGTAATAAAATTAATAATAATCTAATCAATAATAAATAATTATTTAATTGATTGACATATCAGATGTTTTTAGATTTTAAGGCAGAAGTAGGCTAACAAACACCATACATATCATGGCAGGACAATCACTTGGTATTAACTTAGTTTCTTGGCTCCTGCTTTTAGATGTTGTTTTTTTAAATACTACATTTACTAATAAAATAATTATGAAAGTGATTGCTAGTATCATAACTCATTAAAGTTATTTCAACACACAGAAAATTTGAAAAGCAAAGGCTACGTTTTGGTCAAACCCTGGTCAGGCATTATCTAGTCCTGGAACAGAATAACTTACAAAAATCTCAGGTGACTTTTCATGCTTGAATAAAGATTGAAACATATATTTAACCCATATTTGATGTAATTCTTCTGATAAATCATAAGTTTTTTAGGAGGTTACTACTATTTGAAGACTGAGCCAAAGCTAGTGTTTATTAAGATGGTGTATTTGGACAAATTGTTCAAGGTTTGTTGATGGGTATTTGCAAAATGAGCTTCATATTAAATTGCACACTGGTTTGTAGGAGGTGAGCAGCTTCAGGACATTTTCATGTCTGTTTTCCTAAACCTTTGTTATGACTTTTACCAAATTTTGAATCAACTTTACTTTAATTTTTATGACACCAGTAAGTATCTCAGAAAAGGAAATAGATCAACATCAGTGTTATGTCCTCTAGGGATATGGCCTCAGATCTAATAAAACAAAGATTATCATTGTTTAATTAAGAAGCAATAATTGTATTGACAGAAGGCTTTGAACATAGGATATATTCTTTGCACCTGATTTACTCTAGTAGTTAGCAGTTTAACATCTCTGATGAAAAAACAATAGATCTACATTTGTATTTTGTGTAACATTCTATTTCAATGCTAGTTAATTGTTCGAATAACTGTGGATTCTCTGTTCCAAAATTTTGCATCACATTTTTCCTATTTCTGGAAGATGGGTCAGCTAGTGTATAGGTGCAGACTGTATCTTGGATCTTCTTTGTGTTCTGGTGCTGTGACATACCTGTACATAAACGCTGGCAGTTCATGAAGTCCAGTATTGTGGAAGTTTGTATGTAAATTCGGATTCCACAACAAAGTACATATAGAAAATTGTACATTCAAATAAGGTGCATGAAGTAGTAGACGGGAAATATTTTCTGCTTTTTATTTAATAATAAATAATAATAATAGTGCATTTATATAGAGCTAATTCCAAACATAAGGATGCTCAAAGCGCACAAACATGGTTTGATATTAGGGAAAGTCAGGGAAAGCTTGGCGAATTTACCATTCTCTTAATTCATTAAAAGATAGAAACCCATGTTTTCAGATTATTGAACTAAATTTGAACAACGCAAACGGACAAGTAAAGGCGCCACGCGCAGTGTTGATAATCTATTTATAGTTACCGAAACGATCTGCAACATGACCATGTGGTTGTGTTCACGAGTTTTAAAATTATAAACCCAAACAACAAAATTCAGTTATCCTTTCCTGCTAATATCTGTGACGCCGGTGAATTGCCAGATAGATTAATTGATTCGAAAGAAATTACGCTTCCTACAGCCTCAGCAGCTAGTCGAGACGCTTTTTCGTCGGGAATGCAACTCATTTTCACTCATCAGTTGTAATCTGCCAGCTAAAATATATTAAAAATCACATACGCATAACTTGCCTCTTTAAATAACATTCACAAACGACGGATACCAAAGTATCACAAGCAGAATTCATCAACAACGTTCGCAATCACGTAACGTTTCGCCGGCGGTGACGCCATTGTGATTTGCCAGTGGCTGTCCCCCCTAACGTCAAAAACGAAGTGGGCGGGGCTTATCGGCCGAAACTGGATCGGTCTATTGATTGCACACATCAAGTAATACACTGACATTGCGATGTAAGCCTTTCTTACTGCATGATGGCAACACAAAGTGATGGGAATATTGAAATCGGGAAACATTACCTGAGCATAACCTCTAGAACGTTGAGGTCACTGCGTTTATCGTGTACAAAGTACGACAGTATGGCAGATTCCATGCAATACCCAGCCAAATCCCTCACATTTTGCCCACGATTACAACATAAGGTTCTGGCACTTACCTTCTCGGTTGCTGTCGAACAAAATATAAAACTACAGGACCACATAAAGTAAATCCGAATTCAGACACAGCGCTGAACATTGTCGGCGACATTTTTAAACATGCAAACCTGTAGACATCACAATAGCTCTTTCGAAGTAATTCTGCTTCAAGTATTTTTCTATATGTTGTGACATTTCTATTTCTATTTACCATAATGGTTTTAAATGAAAATGAAAATATAAACACGTCTTTCACTATACATGTAGATACAAGACTAACTCTTTCATTCGTCTGTATGCAAATTTTGTCGACGTGTCCGCCATCTCACAGTAGGAGTGATTTAAGCGAACGACTTGACAGGAGACGTAATATATGCTTTTGGGTGCCAGGAAGTAAAAGAAAAACTATTCATGGGGGCATGATTGTTTAAACATTTTCTGACATACCTTTTCTAAATATTAAAGTGAATAATGGCCTCTAATAACGTAGATTTACTGCACCGGAAAAAATCCAGCAGTGTGTTTACTTTCGATTTTGAGTTGTTGATTCGTTTTCCTTTCTTGAAAAACATCAATTCTGATCTTACAGTTTATGTTTTACGTCAAACTATATATGAGAACGCAGTATATTAACTACAGATTTCAGGTATAACATTTCATTCATATATCACAAACCGTTTTTCCATTCATAAGTGTTTTCAGACAAGATATATTTATAGGAAAACGTTGCAGTGTAACCAACGGATCGCCAGTGGAGAGTTAACCACGCCCCTAAAAGAAAGGGAGATAACTCTCAAAAGGTCCGACAACATCGCTGTCAAAACCGTCAAAATGGCAGTCATGATTTCGTTTAGAGACATTCCCGATGATATTGGCCCGAAATATTTGCCTTATGAACCTACTTTGTGGCAAAAACAACATGGAGTGGCTTTTAGTTCGGCCTCATACCTTCATTCCGTTACTTTCCATTCATGTTGTGATAATATCGTGTCGATTTGCGGGAGGATTTATAGAAGTCAACGGAAAACCGAAGCTCCTCATGTTATCAACTTGTCCCTTGACAAAATTCACAAATCGTTCACTGCGCCCATTGTAGCTGCAAATGTGGGTGAGTAGTACCGCGAAATAACCCGGTACTTTTCAATTTATGGCATAAATCTGTTGGGGTTTTATAAGCGGCATATAAAGATATCAAATCAATTACACGTCTGTGTGCTGGCCATTTCAGTTGTTGACAATGAAACCCATGTTATCCCATATAATTACGTTAAATTTATATCATCGTGAAAGAAACAGATTCTGTAATAAATGTAAGAGGTAAATGTAATATCTGTTGTTAGGCATTGCGGGAATAAAACCATGTAAATGTATTTTCCTCTCAATTATATTATATATTATATATTCCTGCTGTCAATCACAGTTCTGTAAAAAATGTATTCACCCTGTTCTCTTCAGTGCAAGTGGAAAGTGTTCCCATGTACTGGCACTTGTCCTGATACTGGAAGGCTGGAAGATCAGGCTATCAAGCCATTCCTTCACAGCCCTCTTCCACTAGCCTGCCTCAGCAGTGGGATAAACCAAGGGGACCAAAGATTGAATCTGAAGCAGTGTCACAGATAATTATTGCCAGGCCTGGAAATCTCAATAGGAAAAGGAGACCTGTGATGGCCACATTCAATGACAACAGGTGATGTTATTATATACTTTAAGTTTTATTTCAGATTCTGAACTTGTTTTATGAAAATGATGTATCATAATTCAAGCATTACCTATATGACATTTTTACTCCATGATCATCAGATATTTCCAAGGTAGAAAATACTCATCACAGTTTAGAAAGCAATATCAGATGACTATTGAGCAGTTGTTTGCATAAATGTTACAGTTCAGTTAAGTGAACAAGGAACAAGAGCACGTACAAAATATTCATTGACATTGCAAGTTCTTAATATACACAAATACAATATTTGTGACTAATACTTTTTGTACTTGCAGGAAAGTTCAAATACAGGAGTCTACATGTCTCTGCTGCACAGTATGAAGAGATTCCCTATTTCATACCTGACAGATACATGTACCAACACCAGTCAGAGAGTTGACACACCCATAGGTCCTCAGGTTGTTGGATCAACTCTTGGACATCAAGTAATTAATCCTTATCTTGAATTAAATATGGCATAAAATTGGTCAAGAAACAGCACACAAACCAAATTTGACTTACTGAGGAAAACAAACTTAAATGCAATTTTTTACCAACAATTTTGAATTTTTATATCCTTCCAATGGCATTTTCGACCACCACTCTGTGTGTTGCAATTTTCACTGTTTCTGCCACATCAGACACACACATCTGACATATACATCTGACCTATACCTGGTGCAAAAGGGGGAATGTTGAGGCGTAATCCAGTGGCCCTTATTTCCTTTTCAATATTAAAGCCCTTGTCTGCCATCAGACCATCTCCTACTCTAAGTTTCCCACACTTAACCATTTCTCTGAGGAGGGACAGATAACCACTTTTTTCAGTTAATTCTTTGTCTGATATCGCCCCAGAAAACAGCATTGATATGAATGTAATTGAACCTCTTGGGTCCACACCAATGAGACCTTTCAGGGTAGTACTTGATTTGTAATCTGAATATGCTTGACTTTGTCTTGTCAGTGAAGAGGGTCTCTGAATTTTTATTTCTGTTCCATCAATGATACTGAAAGTGTTTGGGAATTCCTGGCGAAATTTTGAAGGCAAATGTTGCTTCAAAACATCACGGTGAGGCCAAATTGACAGATCCAAACCTGTAATATAAGTAATTTATCCAATTTGAAAAAGCAGTACTGCAATCTTGGGGTGATATCAGAAACAATTTTGAGAGATGTTTAAAATCAAAATTCTGTCTAAGTTTAATCAGAACAAGCAAAAGCTGGTCTTCAAGACCCATACACTTCAAACTGCTAACTGTTCTGGTAAATTGAAAAGGTTCATCATCAGCATTGCCAGGGACAACAAAATTTAAATATTTTCTGAAACTGTTCGTAGGGAAATCCTGCGTAATACTTGTAATCTTTTTTCTCTATATTTTTACAAAAAGAATACACATCATGCTTAACATTTTTAGCACTAATTTTGGTGTTGATCTGCTGGGCACGCATAAGCTCCTCCTTTTCTAGGATCAGTTTGGCCATATCCTCTTTGAGTTGCTTGTTCTCTGCAGCTAGAGCCAGCATATCCAGTGGCAGAAGACCTGTAAAAGCAATTACAACTGTTTCAAGCAATAATACATTTTATGATCTGGCTAGTTTAGGGCACCAAACTCATTATTAGGCCTGAAACAGACTTACCTATTATCAATCTGACTTGTTGTAATGTTTAAAAAATGCTTTGCACACAAAAGAATAAGTTAAGAATGAACACATAGCACCCACAACATACTTGTATCAATTTGAGATTTAAGAAGAAAAACAGCCTTATTACCTCCCTTGTATAAAACTAAGTGTGAATAAACTGGCTTCTTCTCTTTACAGGCATCCTTAATTAGACCAATAGTGGTTCCAAAGATGGAGGACAGGTCTTGGAGATGTCACATTTCAAAGATGACAACTTGCGAACTGGATTCAATTGCAACTTTAAAACATCAGTGGAAAGATTTAGAACTTTCAGTTGATAAGTCCCATAATTTAGAAAAAAATACAAGATCTCAAAGCAAGTCTGATTTGTGGTACAAAGCAAGGAAAGGGCAAATTACTGCTTCAAACTTTGGTCTGCTTATGACTCGCAAAAAACAAATCAATGACACATTTATCAGAAACACCTTTGACAAAGAGAAATTTTCCTCCAATCCAACAACTTATGGGAATTCTAATGAGAAAATAGCTAAACAAATGTACATGAAAAAAACTCAAAATCATCTTCATGACATTGGCTTTGTTTGTTGTAAACCCATCTATTCCATTTATAGGAGCCACCCCTGATGCTATAGTGTGTGACACTTCTGTTTCTGGTATTGTGGAAATTAAGTGTCCTTATGCTGTAAGGGACTTGACCATTAATGAAGCCTCCTGTATGACTGGTTTCTTTTTGAAAAAAGAAGGAAAATATTACAACTTGAAGAGAGGTGATAGGCATTGGTATCAGGTACAGGGCCAACTACTTGTAACTGGGGCACCATTTTGTGACTTTGTAACCTACACCAGACAAGACTTTAACATTGAACGGATATATCCAGATAGGAATACCTTAAGGACTCTGCTTGAAACTCTGTCACAAACATATGTCAATCACTTCAAATCATACTTTGCAGGGAAACAAACTTCATAAAAAATTACCCATGGTGTCACTTTGTTGGACAAGAATATCAGATTCCTGCTGCATGGTTGTAGGCTCTGGATGTTCCATATCTGTATCATGATTACGTCTGAAAAAGAAGATGAAGACCAAATTATCTTATACCTGAACCTCAAATGTATTACAGCCTTTAAATGGTTACCATCTTTGTCTATTTCCTATAACTTCTTGATTACCTATCAGGACTATTTATGCCTGGATTAACTTTTCTAATATATGTGTTTATTGCTATTACAATTGAGCGATAAATAACTTTTGGCTTCACTTGTTAAGTGCCCACGGTTGACATCATATGACTGTTGTTCTTTCACATATAATATTGGTATCTGCTTCCTAGTTTTATTCGTCTCCCAGCTGAAGAGGGAGTAAGAATATATTCTGAAACACTGTGCCCGTCAGAGAAATGACAAGTATGAATGGACTTGTATGTGGATATTGGACCATCTGATTCATATGATACATTATCTCTATATTTGAGAAGTTATCTTTTCTGTATGAAATATTAGCAATCTCTGGATAGAGGACTAATGGCTGTGTCTGGCCATGCCATGTAAAAAAAAAACATCTATAAATATGTAAATTAATGTTGTATTTAAACATATTTAAAAGAACCACTGTCGTGGCTGATCTGAGTGGTTACAGCAAATGTCCATGTTGATGTATTAATATTTATGATGGATTGTAATGAATACTTTGGATCCTTCAGAGTTATTATTGTGTCTTATCACTCAATATTATGGGACCTGGGTGAAACACAGTTTTGTCTGGAGCAATTAGATTTTTATGTCAATATGCACCTGTTACAGGTGATATCAGTCCCTTCATCAGGCTTATATGAATAGAACTTGAGTATGATTGTCATCTTGTGATGCATGTGATACTTCTGTCTTTTCGTAACTACAAAGGATCTAAATGTGTGACATTACCTTTACTAGCTTTCTGTGATACTCTCAGAATAAACAAGGATTTGTTTGATTATTATGTTTCAATGTTTTTGTTGTGTTTTGTGAGCAGTAAGTATAAAGGCAACAATGTTTTACCTGTGTGTTTCAAGAAGAACTTCCTTTTTCTGTCGCCCATAAATGGCAAGCGTGGTTTGGGTCGTGGTCTTACTGTCTTTGGATTTTCATTTTGTTCATGAGGTAGTGCAGACGCAGGGTCCGGAAATGTCTTGGAGGGTTTTCCATCAACAAAGTGCTGAAAATAAGCTCGCATTTATTAGTCGATAGAAACGCCGAAAAACAACATGGACGTATCTGAATCGTATGCTCAAACACAGACATCATCTGTCCTTGACATACCACGCGGTGAAACGTTAGTAACTTAATCAGTGAAAATCGGTGTAAACTGGTTATATAACAACTAAAAAGCATAACTTGTTTGAGTGGCATTTTAGAAGTTGAGACGTACAATATATAACAAGTTTTATGGATAACAACTTCTTTATTTTCGTGAGTGCGACGTTTCGATACAGATTCTTGTACCGTTGTCAAGCAAGAGTGATGCATGAAGTGTAGGAGCTGCATATATATACTGTATATAACAATGAAACAACATAATAGACAAAGGAAACAACATAATTGCCATGATTGGCTAAGCAGTAAGCTGATGAAGCCAGTAAGTACATAAAGGATAGTGAATGGAAGCCAGAGATGTAGTTACAATGAGATGTTTATACAATGGATGCGATGTTTATACAATGGGCTGGGCTTGGTGGAGGAGTGGATCATAAGCAGATGGAATGAAGTATCCTTGGTCACGGTTGATGGTAGGCTTGTGGCGTTTGATGTGAATGGCTTCTGTGAGCTTGCGTTTAGTGAAGTCCGTTTGGTTGTTGGCGAGAATGGTGATGTCGGACCACTCTATTTGATGATTGGGGTTGGCTTTGATGTGGTGTTGGCTTTGACGTGGTGAGAGATAGCTGATTTGGTGTCGGAATTAGCAACACTGTAGAACGCAACCACTACCCACCTGAAATAGTCAACAGAACCATCGAAGCAACGCTTTCACCTCCTGCCAAAAGATCTAAACCAGAATCAGCCCCCATCAAGATATCCATTCCCTACATTGGTAAACCATCACACCAAATCAGCCGACTCCTGAAACAACAGGCAGGAATAGACACTACCTTCTCAGCGTCCTCCAGCCTCAACAACCTCCTCCATGCCAACGGAAGGAAACAACCCACCGTCAACAACAACAACCCGAAATGTGTTATTTACAAAATAGACTGTGATTGTGGACAATGCTACATAGGTGAAACATCCCGACCCATCAACACCCGAGTCAAAGAACATCGCACCTCTGTTGCTAATTCCGACACCAAATCAGCTACCACATCAAAGCCAACCCCAATCATCAAATAGAGTGGTCCGACATCACCATTCTCGCCAACAACCAAACGGACTTCACTAAACGCAAGCTCACAGAAGCCATTCACATCAAAAGCCACAAGCCTACCATCAACCGTGACCAAGGATACTTCATTCCATCTGCTTATGATCCACTCCTCCACCAAGCCCAGCCCATTGTATAAACATCGCATCCATTGTATAAACATCTCATTGTAACTACATCTCTGGCTTCCATTCACTATCCTTTATGTACTTACTGGCTTCATCAGCTTACTGCTTAGCCAATCATGGCAATTATGTTGTTTCCTTTGTCTATTATGTTGTTTCATTGTTATATACAGTATATATATGCAGCTCCTACACTTCATGCATCACTCTTGCTTGACAACGGTACAAGAATCTGTATCGAAACGTCGCACTCACGAAAATAAAGAAGTTGTTATCCATAAAACTTGTTATATATTGAACTAAAAAGTACTGAAAGTTTACCAAGTCAAAGATTTCTAAATTTACATTAATTTCAACACTGGTTAAGATGTTATTCAATTTTAGTTTCCATACCTTTGTACATACGAAGAAATGTTTTCCTCGGCTGTGGTCACGAAGTATGTCCATGTTCAGTTGATACTTGGGGCGACCACACAAACGTATCCAGGTCTATCCATCGTTGACACTTTTGAAAATTTCTGGCAGGCTTGGGAAATGGAATAAAGGTGATACCACCAGCAAGTCGTTCCGGGTACCGCGTGTCCGAGTTGCAGGTACCCCAGCTACACCTTTTCACCATGATCAAAACGATGACTGTAAACGTCGATTTATTTTTGAAAAGTCCGCCAGACCGCTGATGTCGGACAAAATGGTGGTCAGCTGTCAGCTGACGGCAACGCGATGCGGATTGAATAATTGGACGTTTCTCATTGGTCATATCATTTGTTTGATTGACAGGTGGCGATACGTAAATTACAGGCCAAACGGCATCATACAAATTTTAATGAATTTGTCATCGACGATTTCGCTGGCTTCATTTCCGCTAGATATTTCACTTTCAACATGGTAATGGTGAATGAACGAGCTTCCATAAGATTTTTTCGTTTTGTTTATTACTGAATATTTACAACCTAACGAGACACACGAATGACCCGATGCGCAATGCACAAACAATGGCAGCAGTGGAAATTCCGTAAAATTCACATATTCTACGTTTTTGACTAGCTATTTCTTACATATCATGAAGCCAATGCCATGAAATATTTACATTGACAAACGGGAAATGATTGAACTTTTGCAGTGTGGATTTTGAACATTGTGAGTAACTCTGATGCTGTTTTACGTACATTTTAGACGAATGTATGCAGTTTTCATAACGTCTCCCTCAAATAAACTCCGCACTGTGACAACACATGTGTTATTTCTACTGGCTAACAAACAGGTATCGCCGCCTAACAGTTACCGCCAATACATCAGTATCACGTGTGCGCAGTGCCGGTCAATTACAATTCAGGGGCGGTGTTCTAAAAAAGTCTCAGATTTTCTTAAGTTTTGAAAAATGGACTTAGCTAAGTCAGAACTTAAGTTCGTATTCATAAAGTGACTTAGTCAAAACTTAGCTTAGTCGGAGGTTAAGTCGATCAGAAACTTAAGTTCATAGCCGATGTGCATGGGTATTATTGCTGATGGGAAAATACCAGCAACGGAAAACTTCCGGTGGAACTCTTTACAAGAAAATAAAAGTGACGTCAAGCGGGAATTCCCTTCTGTCGTCGTACCGCAGATGACAACACAACGATCAAAATGCATTCAACCAAAGTGCATTCAATGTGGATCAGAACGTCGAGTTAGGCTTGGTCCGAGAACAATTATTGGGGTTTATTAATAAGTACCTCATAAGACTTCCGCCCGTATCCCCCTAAATTTTAAGGATGAGGAAGAATTTCTTTGAGAGGCATTTTCAGAAGTTGGATATGCCTTTCAGTATGTTCAGATACAGTTGAAGAAACGTGTTAAAACTCATCCTTATCAGATTAGGAATACATATATTCAGGTGATATGATTTGACTAGAATGAAAATTAAAGGGGGATACGGACAGAAGTCTTAAAATATGGTACTTGGTTCCTGCCTGGCGCTCGGCATTAATGGGTACATCAAGGACTGGTCGGCTTGGAGTCAGTATAATGTGTCTGAGTGTCTGTTATCTCAGTGGGTTAGCACTACTGTACGAGTTGCGTCCCCTGATCTGACGAGACGTGTTCCTGTGGGCTTTGAAATTCTGAAGTCAAATCCGCAAATATATCAGCAATCCTACGTGCCAGGTACAAGTTGCTACTGCTATTTGTAATCACTTTTGACAGTCCCAACCAATATTGTGGTGAAGTTTTGCTCAAAAATATATATTTGAAAATTTTGAGTGTGACAAGTCGAAAATGGGAGACAACGCATTGATGGACTCATCTGAATATGTACAGGCAGTGCTGATGCCTAACACCAGTGAAAGCAATAAGAGTGCCTTTTGTAAACCGTCAGCAGCTAAAAACAGAAAATAAATGATGACGCTTTTGAAACAGCTTCTGAAAATAAGGACACTCAGGACAGTAACACTGCAGTTTCTAGCTTTGAGCTTATGAACGTTATTAAAACCATGCATAATAGTTTCACGGATCTTTGTCAAGAGCTCAAGGACAGCAAAAAGAGAGTGACCGAAAAAATGACTGACATTCTGAGGCAAGAAACGTTGAGGATAAGAAATGACTTTGAGGTGCAGATAAAGATGCTAACAGAGAAATTAAATCGGCTGGAAATCACATCAGAAGGTAAATCAAATCAGCTGGCTTCAGTTGAGCATCGGGTGGAGAAGCTGGAGGCCGGAGCTATCCCTGAAAGTGAAGTACAGCGAAGTGTCATTGTTCGGAATCTGCCTATAGACCGATCCAGTCTGTCAATCAAAACTGGCGCATGCGTCAATTTTGGCCAATCAGCAGGCTGGGCGCGCTGTGTGGATTTGTCAGACTTATTTCCGGGGTCAAACGATGCATCCGAAGCAATGTGCTTCGAATTATGCCATTTACACTCGCTATACTTATTACATATTGCTGCGATTTGATGTGTACCTTAACAAAACCATTACGGTCAAGACAACAAAACTGGAGGTGGATCAAGAAACGCGATAGGCCTAACGATCAGTTAAAATGTCTGCACCATCGTTCAGGAAACCTACGTCTGCCTGCTGATGAGAATTTGCACGAATTTCCACACTTTTGCACATGTGCAAAATCATTACCAATTGATGACAACAAATAGCACTTTAAGACTTTGCAAGTGTCATAAACATGGACAATTCTTGTAACTACAAAATTGTTTTTGCTTAACGTTTTAGTCACTACTAGGCATTGAGTTGGTACGCCATAAAGCTCAAATGAGACAGGCGAGAAAGCCGTGACACAATGTAAACAACTCTTCATGTCGGTTAGGGTCAACCGAAATAGCAGAACTTGTTACATGAAAGAACAATGTGGCGGATATTGTCCCCTTCGTTCTTAGATATTTTTTCAATTTGTCACACATTTTAGGATGTTTTAAGTTTCATAAGCACAATCTGAAGGCCTACAGTATCTTGTTAACAGAGCAAAATATTCGAGGAGTAATATTTTTTATTCAAATGGAAATATTGTCAGTGTCAGCAGTTGCCTTTCATGCAATATCCAAGTATCAAAATTAGTTCATATGAGTGCCTATAAAACCATGCTTTAAATATTTCAGATTTTTTATAAAGAGTTGCATGGGACTTTGAACTGAATTACCTTCCTCCATGTTGATCGAATACGAAAACTGTGAGAAGAATAGTGACTTTCTGGAGTAAGTGAACGGAGTGAAATAAAGTGTATATCTTAATTATGAGAACATTATTTGAAGTTTTGTTACCACATAAATTATTCACATATAATGGTACATTTTAGGAGTAATATTACAACTGTAATTTTGATTAATTCACAGGAAATGATAGCAAGGTATGTTTTAAGAATCTTGCTTTTTTAGTAAACGTGGAAGGGTAATAAAATTAATAATAATCTAATCAATAATAAATAATTATTTAATTGATTGACATATCAGATTTTTTAGATTTTAAGGCAGAACTAGGCAAACAAACACCATACATATCATGGCAGGACAATCACTTGGTATTAACCTAGTTTCTTGGCTCCTGCTTTTATATGTTTTTTTAAATACTACATTTACTAATAAGATAATTCTGAAAGTGATTGCTAGTATCATAACTCATTAAAGCTATTTCAACATCCAGAAAATTTGAAAAAGCAAAGGCTACGTTTTGGTCAAACCCTGGTCAGGCATTATCCAGTCCTGGAACAGAAAAACTTACAAAAATCTCAGGTGACTTTTCATGTAACGGATTGAAACATATATTTAACCCATATTTGATGTAATTCTTCTGATAAATCATACGTTTTTCAGGAGGTTACTAATATTTGAAGACTGAGCCAAAGCTAGTGTTTATTAAGATGGTGTATTTGGACAAATTGTTCAAGGTTTGTTGAGCTTCATATTAAATTGCACACTGGTTTGTAGGAGGTGAACGCTTCAGGATATTTTCATGTCTGTTTTCCTAAACCTTTGTTATGACTTTTACCAAATTTTGAATCAACTTTACTATAATTTTTATGACACCAGTAAGTATCTCAGAAAAGGAAATACATCAAAATTAGTGTTATGTCCTCTAGGGATATGGTCTCAGATCTAATAAAACAAAGATTGTCATTGTGTAATTAAGAAGCAATAATGTCAATATGTAATTGTATTGACAGAATGCTTTGAACCTAGGATATATTCTTTGCACCTTATTTACACTAGTAGTTAGCAGTTAAGCATCTCTGATGAAAAAACAATAGATCTACATTTGTATTTTGTGTAACATTCTATTTCAATGCTAGTTAATTGTTCGGATAACTGTGGATTCTCTGTTCCAAAATTTTGCATCACCAGTCTAAGTAAACTTAGGCTCAGTATTATTCGTTACACTGCTATACTGATGCTATACCAGTATAGCAGTGTAACGAATAATACTGAGTCTAAGTTTACTTAGACTGTTGCATCACATTCTTCCTATTTCTGGAAGATGGGTCAGCTAGTGTATAGGTGCAGACTGTATCTTGGATCTTCTTTGTGTTCTGGTGCTGTGACATACCTGTACATAAACGCTGGCAGTTCATGAAGTCCAGTATTGTGGAAGTTTGTATGTAAATTAGGATTCCACAACAAAGTACATATAGAAAAATTAAATGGAAATGATGATTAAAAAAATGATTTCCTTATATTCAGTGTCAATTTATCATTGTGTACAGATTTTGAAGAGAGAAATTTTACTGAGAGTTGCTGCAGATCAGCTGTTTTATATTTGCTTCTGGGTATGTCCAGATACGTCCTTGGAAACATATTGTTTACAAGCCCAATTACCTTTCCAGATTTCCAAATAAGATCAAATAGGTTATGCTGTGATTGATTTGTTTACATTAATTGTACAGACAAATAAGGTGCATGAAGTAGTAGACGGGAAATATTTTCTGCTTTTTATTTACCATTCTTTTAATTCATTAAAAGATAGAAGCCCATGTTTTCAGATTATTGAACTAAATTTGAACAACTCAAACGGACAAGTAAAGGCGCCACGCGCAGTGTTGATAATCTATTTATAGTTACCGAAACGATCTGCAACATGACCATGTGGTTGTGTTCACGAGTTTTAAAAAAATATAAACTCAAACAACAAAATCCAGTTATCCTTCCCCTGCTAATATCTGTGACGGAGGTGAATTGCCAGATAGATTAATTGAGTCGAAAGAAATTACGCTTCCTACAGTCTCAGCAGCTATAGTCGAGACGCTTTTTCATCGGGCATGT